TTTTATTATTAAAATGAATATTTGCTTCTATAATTGCAATCATTTAGCTCATCTCGATTGAAAACAAACCATTGATCAATTAAGTTGTCTTTAAAGTGATTATTTCAAAATGGTTATTGCAATTTTTGAAATAGATGATTTGTGAATGAACAAGCATGGGATCAGTTATGTTCTTTACCGTAACTAATGATTGTGCAATTGTGATCACGATGACCTTCTTTTCTGCATTTTCTTTTCTTTTTTTTGGCGTAAATCTTAACATATCTGCTTCCGAATTGCTGTTTACGTAAACAAATACGAGGAAAATGTTTAGATGTAAACAATGACAATAATGGCAAGGACATTGATGACCTTAGATTTGCTCATATACATTAATGACAGTGTCGGTAGTAGGATATTGTCGAGAAAGGGTTGAGCGAGAGTGCACCTCCATACACACACACACACACACACACAGAACACACACACATACATACTAACATTCATTACCAGTAGTGGTTCATTGAAGTAGTAGTGTTGGTGCAGGCTGTCTCGTCATTTTGGCTGTTTCGTACCAGTCGTTGTCACCTGGTTAGGTCCCCATTCCGCTTGACCTTAGCGCATTTCATTTCTCTCTTTTCCTCCCATTCCTCCAAATATACTTCGTCTTTTCGGCTTCGCCTTTAAACAATCTCTATTTTGAAATGAAATTCCATTGCAGTCTTCCTACCAGATGTTAATTTTCATCAAATTTCATTTTATTATTAATAATTAGTAACTTGCTATGTCGGCAAACATGTATTAACTTCAGAAAGTAATTAGTAAATTGATAAGAAATTCAGTAATCAATTTTTAATGGACAAATGCATGTCTTACTGTTCCATTATTGGTTGATACCGGTTGAACGTACCCATCCTAAAAAAGTAAAGGTCAACAATTAAAAAATATTCATTCTTCACCTTGCTCTGATTTGTTTATCTTCAATCTTTTTTTGAGTGATTCTGTTAAATTACTCCAATTTCATTACTGGAAAGATATCATCATTTATGTAAATCCTCTGAAATGGAACAAATATGAGACTGAAATGAATAGATATCCATGTGTATGATATCCAATATCAAAACATATCACTTCGAGATTTAAATATTTATAAAGTGAAAGGCATTATCAAAACTTAATGAATGTGAACGATGCGCAATATGATAATCATCTGATCTTAACTATATTATTTATTTAATCGATTTGGCTAATTTTGTAATTTATTTAGTTTGCAAATTTAATTTGTTGTGATTTTTAAAAGTTAATGTCAAAAATTAGGAAAGAATGGAGAAAAAAAAGATTGCATTGAATGTAGTGGTTGTTGAAATTGATTTGTATTTCAGGCGGATGGTGATCTTTTGCGTTGTGTTAATTCTTTTTCCTATCCTTTCCTATTTTCATTCTATTCTTTTTTTGACGTAAAACGTAAGGTTCATTTGTCGTTCATTTGTTCATTTGTTGTACACGTTTAATTTGTCAGAGATCTGTTTGATTACTGTTTTTAAGGTGATTTTAACAAATTGTTTAAAATGCTTAATCTAATAATAAATAAAATGTTTGAATAAAGAATATTGCGAGAAGCAATGTGACATTTTTGCATCTTTTTTTTTCTTTCTAGGGTAATACCAGATTTATTGGGGGTAAATTTGTCTGTTTGTCAAGTGCAAATGGACCTATGCCCACCGGATTGGTTCGACTCGAACCTGATAACAACACCAACATCAATTGATTTAACTCAAAATGGAGCTCGAAATAAGAGAAAACGTGAAACGACGAGCCGAAATGGTATTGATGATTTGGAACAATCGGAGGAGCAATTCAATCAGGTGTTAAATAATTACTTCCATTTCTCGAATCCGACCAGTACTACGTGGTTTCAACAAGGTTTGCTTTTGTGTTGTTCCTTCTTAAATAGATATTGAAAATATCTGTTATCATCAAATATTTTATCTCTAATTTATTCGCAATAACATTTAAAATACTTCAAATGCAAGCGGTAACAGCATCTGAAATGGCATTTTTAACACAAAATAATTTGTTACGGAGAATTAATGGCACACTATTAATTATCTTAACATTCTCACATGGAAATTGCTTCTCAATTGTTTGCTTAAATCTTTTGTTACAAATTCTCTAATGATGAAAAAATTTTGAAGCTTTTATCTTCAATCATTTATATTATTCTTATATATGATGTGATTTTAGACAAAAAGCAGAAGCAAAATTTTCATAAACTAAAACGGGAACTGTTTTTTATTTAATCTCAAATTTATACAATCGCATAGAAGTGGCAATTTTCTTCATAATATCAAAAAAGCATACCAGAGAAAAACGAAATTTCCACTAATTAAAGCGGAAAAAAAATTCGTTGCACTAATTTATTAAGATTATTAAATTATTCTGTTTAATTTATCTGCTTGTTATATCATCAATAATCACGAAATTTTCAGAAATATTTTAAAATCAATGATAACTGATAGTTTGTTGAATAATTTTCTTGAATATAAGACATTTCTTTACTACTTTTTAAATTAGTAAATATTTCCCTTCATTATTATTCCCAAGAGATTTATCAGTACAGAATTGCAATATTGACCCGCACATTCTCAACTGCACTTTGACAAAGCAAAATTATCACATTCTAATTGAAAGAGGAACCTTTTAGCAAAATAATAATTTGCCAAAGTATAATTTGGAAATCAAATTACAAAAATATTCTAAAAATGAAAAGTCTTGCAGCCAGAAGATAAATTTTAGTGAATTTTGAAAGTGAAACTTAAATTTAAATTGAATTTAAATTATTGGCGTTTACCAATTTTCAATGCACTGCAAGAAATGATGATGGGATGTTGAAAATCAGCAGTATGACGTACAGTTTCCTTTTTTCTGTAACAAACTTCTCTATCTTATCAATCATCTACAATTTAATGTTTGTTTTGCTAATTTTTTTTTTTGAAAGTTAAAATAATTTTTCATCATAAAAATGAAAAGGGATGTCATTTTTCTCTAAGCTAAATATTTCGCACAGAAATAGGCAGACTTAAATTGATAGTTGTACTATTTTCTTGTCCATTTCTTCTCTCCTCTACGGCTGTCCACTATCGATACCATTCTATTTACCTTTTCATTTTACATTCTTCGAAAGAGTAAAATTTTTTCAATTTCATTCAATTTGAATTAAGTAGCGTGAAGGACAAAATTTTTCATTTGAAATAGCAAACAGCCTGTTAGAAATTTTTATTGTTGCAAATTATTTTACATTCCACCCAACTTTTTAGCTTAATTCTTTGATCAAATAATCAAAAAAAATTGGCTAATAAATAAATTTTAGTTAATACATTTTTCTTTCTCTTTCTCTTTCTCATCTCTTCGTTTAGCATTTTATGTCATCTCTTTGGCAATCTTTGACCTTCTCTTCTATTCCTACTTTATAGACAGGACTGTGTAATTATTGAAATTTATCAGCCATATTTGGACAGTAAAATACTGACCTCCATCTCATCATCCTCTCTCGAAATATTAACTATCTTTCAACAATATGATTACCGATTTTATATGTAATTTATATTGTTGCACCTCCTACTATGCAACAACTGCCAATTATATCATTTGCGTGTAATATCGTAACCTTTCAAATGAAAATTAATTTTAATTTCACACTTAAATAATAACAAATATATATCAGATGAGTGAAACAATTTTCTTAATCATTAAATCATTAATTTTCCATTGTATATTACCATTTCTTTTTTTTTTCAATCATTTATTACATTTCTTTTTTTTTCGTTATATTTTCAAATCACAATTTTTACTGATTTGCTGATCTACTTTCTTATTGTTCTATTAATTTATTAATTTGTTTATTTCTGAAATTTTGAAGATTTCATTCGTAAATTTAATTGTTTATCATTTAGAACAAATGTTACCATCAAACGCACAACTTTTACGACCAACTACTGATCGCTCACAAGAGTTTACAGTTTCAAATGATGAAGTTAGCAGGTAGTTATTCAAATATTTTAAAAAATCATTAGCTAATAATATTTTGGACAATTTTTTTTTTAAATTAATTTTAACTATTCAAACAGTTAAATTTGCTTACTGATATCAATGCTTATATAAATTCCTTTGATATTTTCATTTTTTCTATAGACTGTGAGTTTTAGGTTTTAAAAATTAATTCAATTAAATTGTTTTTTGGATCATGATAGGATGAAATGTACGAATCATATTTCAAATGGTTAAAACAGAAGTTGTAATGAAATCGTTTCAGTTTCGATAAATTTCTCTTCAATTATTTTCTAGCACAACTCCGAATATGACATTGTATGCGATACAAAAATCTGCATCAATAAATTCAGAATCAACCACAAAACACATTTGCGCAATATGCGGTGATCGAGCATCCGGGAAACACTATGGAGTGTACAGGTAAATGCACTACATCTATCTTCAATTTTTGTAAAAAAAGCGAAAAAAATAAATCATTTTTTTTCAGAAAATATCAAAATTTTTAAAAATTAATATACTTTTCTTCCTTTAAATGAGTTTTCAGCGATATCAATTTTTATTAAAACCACTGTAGTTAATTGAAATTATAATATTATTTTGATTTGCATAATTTTTTTGTTTTTTATTCGCAAGATTTTTTTTGCATGTAACAACATCATATAACGCAAAAAAAGATCTTTACAAATTTTAATAAATTTTGAAAATGCATTACATTTATTCCATCATTATATCAGTTTGGTTTGTTTTTTTTCCTAATCAGTAGACGATAATTGAAATATAAAGATAAAATGGTGTGAAGTGATGCATATTGAATTTTAGAAGTAAAATTAAATTTTTAAATAATGATGTTTCCTAAATTTAACAAATTTATGCTATGCAAATTTTTTTCATTCTTTCTTTTTCGAATTATCTTTTGTACAAATTTCAAAATTTTTTTGTAAATTACAGTTGTGAAGGTTGTAAAGGATTTTTCAAGAGAACAGTGCGCAAGGATCTTATCTATTTATGTCGAGAAAATCGTAACTGTATTATCGATAAGCGACAGAGGAACCGATGTCAATACTGTCGTTACCGCAAATGTCAAAGTATGGGAATGAAGAGAGAAGGTCATTTTCTATAATACAATTTTCTATTCAATCTTCACAATTCATTTTTTTTAAGGCAGTATTAAAATTCAATGGTTTTACATGATTTAAAGAATGATCAAATATATATATTGCTCATTTCAATTTCAATCTCGAAGAACGTCTAATAATCGTAAAGATATGACCATAAAGATGTGATCAAATATCTTTATGATTATCCACTTCGGTGCTACGTTATCACTGATTTCAAATTTAAGAATTAGCTTGCAGTAAAGCCATTAATCAACGAAGAATTATCAGTTTGACCAATAAAAATGAAACCTTAAGTTTATCCAGGTTGTAATTTTTCTATGATTAGCAATTAGCTTGAAAAGGATTTGATTTTTATACGAGCTTTCTATATGTAAAAGTCATCGATGCTAGTTAATTGTTATTAATTCTAGGCATTTTTATTTCTCGTTTAGTACTTTTTTAAATTTTGATTCAATCCACAAATTAATTTACTTTTCAAGAGTAAATAAAACAAAAAATCTTTGGTTGATTAAAATTATTTTAAATTAATCAGAATGTAGAGATGAATTAATTTTCGTTTACAGCAGTGCAAGAAGAAAGGCAAAGTTCAAGAGCGGATATAACTAAAGTATTGAGCAGTGGTGGACAACGACATATTACCACAAGTCAAATGGAAGCAGAAAGTACAAGTACTTATGGTAGTCTCGAAATTCAACTTGAAAGAATTGCTGCAGCTGAAGAAGCTTCCGAAGTACTTTTTAGTAGTATTAAGGTACTTTGATTATTCATCTTCCAATTTATTTTCTAAGTAATATTCAATGAAAAAACAATATTGACAATATCTGATTAACTTTTCCATCATAAACTTAATTGTTCATTTTTAATTACTTACGCAATTATGCTTCAATCCAAATTCTGAAATGATTAGTAATACTATTAGTAATTCTTCATTAATTAAATATATGTTGCTAAAATAAATGAATGGTCCATCAGTGTTTTACATTTCAAAATTAACTGAACTGTTGATTTTTGATCCATTTTTCTTCTTCTTCCCACTTCCTTCAATTAATTTAAGTTTAATCTAACGAGTCATTTGAATAAAAAGAAAATTTTTTTATTCGATCATCTAATTCAATATTCTTTCGTTTTTTTTAAAGTGACGTTACAATGCAAATTAATGTTGCTTATCAAAGGGCAATTTTTTTAAATTTTCTTCCACTTTTTCCTTCCATCAGATGCTTCATGTTTTGATTGTTTCTGAAGAAGTAAGTGCATTTCAGAATAGCAGTCAGGAAAATGAAATCATTATAATTAACTCTTTAAAACTTGAATATGAATAATGGATTTGACCTTGCATTAGTCATATACTGCGGTAAAACTCATTATATTTGAAACACTTTAATGATAATGATGACCTTTGTCCTAATTTGCATATAATATTGAGCAGTAAATGGACAGTTAATTAATCTTTCAAATTTTATTTCAAAGTTGAGTGAAGCCTCGAGTTTTAGTTTTTTTTTTTCTTTTTTGTTCTTTTGTTATTCTCTTTAAACGATTTGAGAAAAGTAAAAAAAAAGCCTAATTTTGATCATTTAATTCAGTTTTGTTGCTAATTTTTTAAATAACTAATTTTTTCTCAATAATGGTAATTTTTTGTAGTATTATTAACAGTTTATTAGAAGATTATTTACAGATAGAATCAAACGATATTACTAGCTCTGAATCATTGGAATGGCAAATGATACGAATGGTTGAATGGGCTTTGATGTTGCCATCATTCAATGAAATTTTAGTGGAAGACCAAGCTCGATTGATAAAATTTGGTTTATTTGTTTTCCTACTTTTTTTATTTTCACTTTCCATATGATTTAAAATGAGTTATGTTAGAATTTCCGAAAGATATCTCTGAGTTGATAAATAATAAATTATATATAAAAAATTTACTCATTCTGTTTATTCCTTGACAAATTTGAAATATTGAAAAAACTGAACGAGATATTTTTATTTGTATGTTAAAGAAACAGTCTTGTAACGGTCGGCAATAAATGACAATCATTTTCCGGATGATTTCAAATAACAAGATATTTGAGAATGATCATTTAAGTATATGTGTGTGCCTTTATGTGCTTATGTGAAATGAATATTTAATTTGATTAAACTTTTCGCTATTACACAAATAAGCACAAGTTTGAAGAAGTGTAATAAATAGGGTTATGGTTGACCTGTATAGTCAGTGTTATGTATAACATTTTTGTAGTTTGAAATCTGAACATTAGTTTTAACGATCGTTTTAGGATGGCATGAACTGATTCTTGCGGATATAGCTTATCGTTCTACAATAAATAAATTGTTATTATGGCCGGAACGTGTAATGGAGAGGAATGATGCGGAAATTCTTGGTTGCCGGATCATTTTTGATCGAATCATCAATGAACTCACTATTCGGATGAAGGATTTGGATGTGGATCGAGTAGAAATCGCTACCTTGCGATGTGCTATTCTTTATAATCCAAGTAAATTTTTTGAGGAAAAAAAAAGTAAAATGTTACAAGAGTAACCAGAGAGTTATATTTTAGTGTGAATTTTAAACTTTAATGAATTTAAATCAGAAGGATATCTCTGGCAGTGAGTACTAAAGTTTGCGACATATTAAAAGGAAAAAACAATAAAATGTGCTATTAATAGTTGACAAAATTAAGTTTTTGATAGGTGTTAGCGGCTTGCGAAATGTCTCAGTGGTGGAATCATTACGAGATAAAATAATGGTATGCTTGGAGGATTATTGTCGACAGCACCATCCTGCACAAACTCAACGTTTTGCCAAATTATTATTACGAATGCCTGCATTACGATCTCTTAGCTTGCACTGTGCTGAAAATAATGGTTTCATTATTACTGCACCAACTATTCAGGTAACTTTTTAAAATATCATCACTTGAGTACACCTATGACATATATCGCATCTTATGTTCGAGCTTAAAACTTAAGCACAAATTCAAATTCCATATAAAATACAAGTGCAAATATAAAAGCATTAGCACATATTTTCCTTGGACTGAAAAGAATCCTAATTGAAATCCATCGATGTAAATTTATTGTATTTCAGGATCTTATTAGAGTATTAATTCAACGCCAAAATTTGTCCGTACAAAGAAATCTGTGATATATTTTTTCTTTTTCAATTTCACATATTTTGGGCCAAAGATTGATTTGTTTTTCTTTTTTTTTTCTTCAACCAGACCAATGCATTCCATTACCTGTTTCATGTGCTTTCACCATTTCATACCAAATATATTCTCCCTCATTTATTATCAGCAGCACCAGTTTCTCATTTCTTTCTCTCCTGTTTAAAATATAGGAAGTGGAAAAATTCTTTCGTTTCGCAACGATTTTCCTATAAAGCTAGCTTGGTAAAGGTGATAATCTTACGATCACAAAAGATCAGTTTTAGAGATATTGTGAATGACATGGTACCAACTGAAACGTAAATGATCAATTTGAAATCAATGATGAAATTAGTGCTTATCAAATTGTGAATGCTGCCCAAAAGTCCCCTTTTTTCCTTTAAGCTTATCGTTGTCATAAAACCAACAATAACACTTCCGTATTTTAAATGCAAGTGTGACATATATTTCCAATGTTGGAAATGGTCTCATCAGATAGAAAATAAAATTTCTGTAAAAGTTTCAAAACATATTGTGAAATCTTATGCAAACAAGTGAAGATTTAAAGACTTCGCAACTGCTCTGAAATTTTTGTACTAACAAAGCAAAATCGCGTGTACATTTAATGTATTACGAGATTTTCTTTCACGGAACATTTCAAAGCACAAATTCATCATCAGGAGCAAGAACAAATTGAAAATTCTGCATAAATACTTTTATATTTTTTTTTCAAAGTTAGTTCTGTTTATTTGCATATGAAGAAAATCAAATGTTCCAGAATCTTTTTCGAAACTTTTATTAAGTTGCGAAAAAGACAATTTTGAAAAGACCTAAACTATATTATTTTCCGCCATTCAAGTCATTTTATAGGTTTCTACCAACAAATCAATTTCAAGATTTGCTGCAAACACAGAATAAACTTAATTTGATTATT